AACCACTCTCTGGAGGCCCAGCAGCACGTCTCATGTTGATATTCGGAATCAGCATGGTCGACTACCTATAGTCCACTAGGTTTCGGGTCGAAAGCGATCGGACAGTTGGGGACCTTCCCTCGTTAGTTCTATAAACGTACGATGCTGCGACAGTCAGCGATGTTCATTGGGGGCACTGTATTTTATATTGCAGAAGTAATTATCGGGTAAACAATCAGTTTGGATTTAACTTTCGATAAATAACATTAACGCTCAATGCAGAACGACAACAAATCAAACTTTTTAAATTTATTCTGGAAAAAATTAAAATTTTTCTCCGCCGTCTTACAATCACTAAAATGAGTCAAGGTAACTTTTCTCTACTTTCACGTGTGCACTTTCTTGTCAAACTGGAGAAAAATCGTTTCAATAAGATTATTCGATTATAAAGGTTCTGGTATGATCAAGAAACCATTGCCCTGCCATGTTTGTTCTCCAATCACTGATAAAAATTTGTTATTCGAATTTTAGTATATGAACACAGTGGGCATTCAGGCGAACGTTTGTCCAGATAAGTGGGAGAGGGGAGAATATATTAGGATATATGGACTATTTGCTGAGAACGACCGTCGGAAAATACTCAGTCGTAAAGTAGTCTGTAAATACAGAGGCCTTCCAAAGAAAACATTTTTTATCAAATCCAATTGCATTATAAACAAGAACGACACAGATTATGAATTAAAATTCCTCAAGTGTGTATTCGTGAAAAAAAAATTATTAATTTTGACTTTCCAAGATACAAAATTAGTTTCCACACTAACTAAGGCACTCAGGTGTCGCGTGCCCAACTGTCTAGTAATTCTATTTTCTCAGTCCAGGAACATTCTACAAGAAAAATAAGGTCATATTCAGAATCAGCACGTTCAGTTCCATCGCACTATTGATAGCACAATAAGTTTTGGATCCAATAACTATCTATTGAAATTTTTTCACACGAACCTACGAGATTGATACTTTGAAAAAAGCGATTTTTCTAGAAACGTTAATTTGTCGTTTAGCACATGACAGAGCTTCTCAAGAGCTACAAAATAATTAACAAATGTTTGATATTTTACGAGTTCAATCGGTAAATTTTATGATATTGTTTTTAAACTAAGGAGTTTGACTTGTTGTCGTTCTGCAAACCATTTTCATATCAATTCAGTCGAGAAATTTTAAAGGCGTGTTCGGCCAAAATGATAGCAGATTCGAACTATTCATAGTCGATTACCTTGTACGCAATAAGTTTTGAATCAGGGTACTCCAGAAAACATTTTCTTCACTGTTTTGCAAAAGAATTTTTTACGACGTTCCTGGAAGGTAAAGAAAAAACTGAATGAGACTGACGAGGGAACCGCCCGAGATGATAATCTCCGTTTTTCTTCGTTCATACCTCAGTTGATAGAGGGCATCGCGCTGACATAAAGCCTAAATGGGTTTCTGCGGAGGGCTCCTAAAGACCCGGTTTTCTGGAAAACCAGGTTTTCAGAAACTCTAAAACTAACTGAAATCTCTTCTTAATGAGTTGCAATTGTAGCCCGGAAATGT